TTAAACTATCTAGGATGCCGCCTAACGATTTAAAGTTAGTCTTATGGGATGGTTAGTTAGTGTGTGCATGTGAGCATACATGTACATAAACATGAATAACTTTTTCTGTGGCTGCTTGAAGCTGAAGATCACTTAAATTGAATTTTTCTTTGTGTGTGCAAGTAGAAATATTTCACAAATGCCAGGAAGAATAATAGTTTTGTAGTGATCATATGTTTCTAAGCATGAAAGAATAGCAACTCTGGTTTTTCTCCATGAGAAACAGCAATAGTGGTGACTGAGGGATGGAAAACTAATTTATGTAGAAGCAAAGGGGTTTTATTCTAAAAGAAACATACATATGTTCACTGACAGATTTTTATCTTGCATTTGCATCCGTGACAAGCATGCTCAGTTTGTGGTGGTTTTCTATATATTGCAGTTAAAGCCTCTCTATGAGAGTTTTAAATGGGTTTCTTTCCCATGTGCTTGGTTTTCTGTAGGTAGAGTGGGAATAATGACACTGACCTCCTTTGTGCTTCCAAAGTACTGCTGAGAAACATTATATAAGAATTGAGTATTATTATACAAATCATTCTAGTTTGATCCATCTCTGCTGACCTTTTTCATCCAGGCAGTAAGATTACCGTGACTAGGAGGCTGATGGGTCTCATTGTGCTCAGCTTACCACTGTACGTACTGCTGGTTTTCAGTGGAACATAAATCAGTGTAATCTTTTTTTCCCCAAATGATGGGCATTATTAAGACTTGGCATTTATTTGGAATTTCTTCATGTTTAAAGCCTTTACAATTGCTATGTGATAAAGTATATATATTTAGTTTTGTGGTATTTTTGCTTTAAGTTCAGTACAGAAATCTGCTGAATATTTTTTAAAGTCTGTGAATATTTTTAGATGATCTACAAACAGCATGACATCTCCTTCCTCCTTCAACTTTTTCTATGCTGTTTTAGAAATAAGACTTGAAGAGATTGTTCCTGTTGATGCTTGCTGTTTTGTAACACTACCTTGCCTTCAAAACTTTAGAAATTACCAGCTCTTCAGCAAATATGGATGCACCGTTTGGTGAAAATTTGGTGTAAAATACAGCTGGTCATGTTAGCAAACAAGCTCTCAGAGCTGGTTGTGCTTTTGTCGGCAGTTTCCAGTTTGTGGTGATGTTTCGATTGCGCTGGGACTGGTCCTGCCCAGCTCCAGCTCCTTCAGCAGCAGCTGCGTCCCACAGACCTGGGCAGATGCTGCACCAGGGCCGTGGGTAGGACAGGGTGCTCTTGGAAGTTGGATTTCTCTTTGTTTAGAGAAGAGTAGTGACACTGGTGCTATTGACTGCAAAATCTGTCTCTTCAGGTTGGGGTGCTCATGTGATCTATTTGGAAATGCATTAACTGGACCAATTTTCATGTTTGTTGTGAAGAGAGATGGAGCAGTTGAGGTCACATGAGTATCTAGAGATGGAGCAGTTGAGGTCACATGAGTATCTTGACTATGAGACTTTAAAAAAAAACAGGAAAGAGGGAATATTTTTTCATAAGTGATAAAACTTTTTGTTTATGATGTTTTCAACTGCTGACAAACACGCAGAATTAACTCTTATTGTGAAAAATTTGGTTGCTTTTTCCTTCTGCCCATGGTAGATAAGCGGGGCCTCACTCATAAAAAAGAACTCGTCTCTTTCCATCCTGACTGTGTTTTAAAGTCTACACATTCCCATATTTATATTTACCCTTAAATTTAAAAGGAAGGACAAGGGCAGGGAAGCATTTCTTTGAAAACTTGATCAACTCTTAAGATCATTTTGATGATGGGGGGGGGTGTGTGTGTGTGTAGGGATTAGAAGATCAAGATCTTTCTTACTGACAGTAACTGTAACCAATGTTCTAAACATACGTTATGTGTAAGTGACTGTCTTTTTAAAATCAAGATCAAGTAATTTGCATGACCCAAATAATTACTAGAGTTGCCCTGATGGTGAGGGTAGTTTAAACTAGTTTTCAGAGAGTTTGCCTGTGGGTGCGAGGGGAGGTACTTAGGTTAAAAACTATCCCCAGTGCCCATAGATTACAACCTGTGTGTCACATGGTGAGAAAGAAGGAAACGGTGCGCACAGCGATGGATGTGGGACAGTGGGTAGACACGTACGTTGGACTGTGCAGCAGCAGTGCTAATTGTACAGTACACTAAGTCTGAGGGATTTAATCTTACATTGTGAAACGTGACATTACTGTGCCTCTTGCAGGCCAGGAAGTGTCACCAGAGCCGCCTCTGTGATGTAGCCCTATGGTAACAGAACTGTAAGTTAGGTGCTGACGTTTCAGAATTTTACTGCACTTTGCCATGTAACTTTATGTTGTCAGCACCAGAGAAAGTAATTTATTTCTTTTCCCTCGTGAGAAAAGGGACAAGGAAAAATAGCATGAGAGCTGATCTTGGAGAAAAAGGAGTCAAAAGTTTCAGCTGCAGCAGAAAAGAGGAAGTTTTCTCCAGCAGTACTGGGAAGTGACAGGCACGTTGCTGATGACAACAGCCTGCAAGGAGAGGGATGACTAGGCTTTGATGAAAACATGCTGGGCAAAATCCTATAGCAATATAAAATTGACAAGTAACTAGCCAGTTTAGGGAACTATTTTGAGCTCAAAATGTGAACACAATGTATGTAAATAATGAATTACTGTTGTCTGGGGCACTCTGGCACTACCTCACAAAAGGAGTTTGGTAATAGAGCAAGGATCTGCTGTGGGGGTGGGTTTGCAAGTGTGTGGGTTTTAGAAGGTTTTTTCCTCGATGAGTTAGGTGACTGAATACATTATTCAATTTATTGAATAAAGCAGAAGCAAGCTTCTTCTGAACGTGTTCTCAGATACAGATCTGCCTTTTAGAAAATCAGTAGTAGTGTCAGTGTTAGTAGTAGTGTTACTTCAGATGCCAAAGGAATTTACACAAAACATTAGAACATCCTTGTCTCAAATTGAAAATATTTCTCATATCTGTTCATTTTTTTATAAAGGTGAGACTTGTATGTCTACATCTTTACTACTTCTGTTGTTGTTTCTGCTTTATATTACACAGAAGTCACACTGTTGAATTTATGGCTTTCCAGTTCCCCCATGGCAGAACACAGGTGTACTAAATTAAAAAACAAAACAAAAATGCTGGTTCAGGATCAAGTGAGAAGAGAAAAGTGGGCAGTGGAGGAGAACAGGTTGTATGAGAAAAGACCAGGGAACAGAGATGTCAAACACCACTGGGTCAGCTTGGGACCATCCAGGCTAAGCTGAATGTTGACCAGCTCCTGTGGAAGGAGGAGGGCAGGGCAGGGCAGTGGGGAGCACTGGTCTGCACTGGTCTGAAGGAACCCGTCACCTCAGATGCCTTCTGTTTGTGTCTGCTAGTGCCAGGGAGCGTAAGTGACTCTTCAGGAGCCAATCCTTTTCCTTAGGGCTCCTGACCCAGCTAGACCCAACCTGGCTCTGGATTATGAGGCAGTGGCAGCTCTTCCTTATATTTGATTCTGCTTCTAGACCCACCACTGTCATTCCCCATTTTGAACAAGGCTGTGCATAAGAATGGGGGGAGGTATTTGATTGATCAATTTGCAGCTCTCTTGCTTTGAAACTGTCATAGAGCCAGGAGGTCCTGCTGGCACAGTGTCCATAGGTAAATGTGTCACTGCTTGGAGTGGCTTCTGTACAGCCGTTTGCATATGTTCATGGGCTAATGGTAGTGCTGTGTGGTAGCTTTGATTAAGACCTTAAGTCTGAATAATCAAGATGAGAAGATAAGATTGGAAATAGAGGAGCAGCAGCAGCATTTGTGAGACTCTCAGCATAGAGCTGCACTTCTCTGTGTGAAGGCAAGGGTGAGTTAGATCCATAAGCTGCCTGGCATCACAAGGATGATAAACAGCTTGGGATGAGAACACACTGGGTGAGAGATGGCATGCTTGGCTTCATCTTGATGTCCAGCTGCCCTCTCTGTTACTTCAGGTAAGTTGCAAAGGCATCATTTACTCCGTCTGTACAGTGACAGAGGCAGCATATACTCTGGATGTTACATTTATGTTCATGGGCTAATGGTAGTGCTGTGTGGTAGCTTTGATTAAGACCTTAAGTCTGAATAATCAAGATGAGAAGATAAGATTGGAAATAGAGGAGCAGCAGCAGCATTTGTGAGACTCTCAGCATAGAGCTGCACTTCTCTGTGTGAAGGCAAGGGTGAGTTAGATCCATAAGCTGCCTGGCATCACAAGGATGATAAACAGCTTGGGATGAGAACACACTGGGTGAGAGATGGCATGCTTGGCTTCATCTTGATGTCCAGCTGCCCTCTCTGTTACTTCAGGTAAGTTGCAAAGGCATCATTTACTCCGTCTGTACAGTGACAGAGGCAGCATATACTCTGGATGTTACATTTGTACATCTGCCTCACTCATGTTTGTAGAATACTTTAGTATAGTTGGATAAGGCTATGAAGATGGATATATATTTTGTATGTGTGCTGTGATTATAAGTAGGATTTGTGTGCTGATTTCTCTCTAGAAGTCTGTACATCTGCCTCACTGATGTTTATAGAATACTTTAGTATAGTCAGATGAGGAGTGGTTAAGGCTATGAAGATAGATGGATATATATTTTGTATGTGTGCTGTGATTATAAGTAGGATTTGTGTGCTGATTTCTCTCTAGAAGTATACTCATTAATTTTAACTTAATGCTGAGCTATGGCAGACTGTGTGCTCTTTGTCTTAGGCAAGAAGAAATTGTTTCTGGAAATAAAATACTAACACATAATTTTAAAGGTAAAATAGTGAAGGTGTGGTTTTGCGAGGTGTCCTTGTGACATCTGCTGAAAGGTCTGGAGGCGGTTGTGTGAGGGTGTGTTTGCAGTTTATGAGACAAAAAAACCAACCTGATTCCAAAACATTAAAATGTGAGAATTTGCCAAAGTGTTATTCAGAGGTTACTAAGGAAGTAATTTAAAACTCTCTTTTTACTGGTCTTTTTAGGTAATATTTCAATAATAACATTACCAGTTTCCAGCACCAACTCTCCAACTAAGATTTTGCCAAAAACCTTAGGACCAATCAACGTGAATGTTGGACCCCAAATGGTAAGTTTTGCAATTTTCGGCAATGCTGCCTTGTGTAACTACCTGCGTGGCTTCCTGTTGCTGTAATGGGGAAACATGAGAAACAAAGAGGTGATCAGTGCTGGGAACTTGCCGCTTCCCGCCTCAGCGGCGGCTGCAGGGCCCCCCTGGCTGGAGGGTGCTGATGTGGGTATTGGCACCCCGCAGCTCCTGCTCCCAACAACCAGCTTGTGGGTGATCTTAGGGGACACCCGTCTTCCTGGCTTGGGATGGAAACTGAAACAGCTTTATCAGTTGACATTTTAACTATTACTCAAAACTGTATTAAGAAAAGAAAAATCTCATGAAGAATGTTACTGATACTCTGAATATTTTGAGTCATGTTGCCAAAGACTAAATGTCTCAGGTCTGTTGCTAGAGATTTAACTTGTTGAAACTACTCTTCTTAAAACTGCTTTCCTGTCGATAACTGTATACTGAGAGCATATTGATGTTTCAGGGATTTTGGGTCTGGTTTGAGAAAAATTTTCAGTTTTCTAGAGGCCAGAGAGCTTAATAGGCAATACAGTCCCCTGCTTCTGGTAACCCAGTGCCTACTTGCCAAGCACTTAGCCTGAGTACAACAACCATTTAATGTGTTTTATAAATAATTGTGGTGGGTCTTTTTCTCATCAGCAGTTATTCCTGTTCTTCAGTGGCTTTTATCCCAGTTGGACAGATGGGCACAGGCATCGCAGCCAGCGCTGCCCTCCCCCACACGCTGCATCTCTGCTGTGTAGAGCTCCAGCTGAAGTACTAGCCACGGGCTAGTGCCCTGTGCACTGGGAATTGTGTTCCTCAGAGCATCGGTGCTGATGCAAGTATTGCCAGAGCAGGTGCCCAGTAGCATTTCACTGGGATGGTTCCTCTACAAAAGATGTGTCTTGTGAGCACAATAAATAAATAATAGTCAGGAACAGGGAGAGCAGTCAGTTAATGCAGTTCCTGCTCTTACAAGTGGCTGCTTGAGGCCCTGCTTTGGGGTTAAATGTACCCTCGTTGCAGTTTAGGTTCTGTAGCAGGTAGAAGTTGCAAAAGCTACTGCATGCTGTGAGACACACATTTATTCTTTTTTTGTATTCTTAATTTAAATTTTTTAATTTTTTAAAAAATTATTTTCTGCTCTGTAAGGACAGGTCTATATTCAGAAAACATTTTATTATTAAATAGCCATTAATACAGGCCTCCATTGTACAGCTGGCACACAGCCCCGGGTTGCTCTGGAACCCCTGGGGTACGGCTGTACATCAGCACAGGTGTTCTGGGCTGGATTCCTGTGTATGGGTGTTTGTTACCATTTCTTTAGATTCAGTCTGTAGGTATAAATTTAACAGCGTAAGTATTACTGATAAACTGGTATGCTTAATTACAGGGGTTTAATTACAGGGGTTTAACGCATCCTGCAGATGCTCTGTTTGCTAAAGTAGGGTGAGGTTTTCTTTCTGTTTTATGCCCCACAGTGAAGGTGTGTGATCACTGCAGCACGCTGGAAAAGTATTTGCTGTTAAGAAAAGGTGGGATTAGCCCGCTGAAAATACTCCGTGTAGCATTTTGTGTGAAAGCAAACATTCAGCAGCAAATGTAGAAGTGACGCTGAGAGAAGAGAGGTTTGTGTGCCCGGGAGAGCAGCCGGGACAGGGAGCTGTGCCGCGGGGGGTTCCCGCCCCGGTGCCGCGGAGGGCGCGGGGCGCTGCCGGTGCCGGCGCTGCCGGTGCCCGCCGCCAGCAGGTGGCACCGCGGGACAGGCGGAGAGCGGACGGGCCGGCGTGCGAGCGCCCGGAGGCGGTTGTGCCAGCTCGGTTACTACGGTGGGTGTCACAGCAAATCGAGGAGGAGATCGGACATAAAATGCCCTTCAGTGACACATCTGATCTGTGATTTACAAGGCGTCAGTAGAGCAGTGTGAAACCTCGGAGGGGGTGGAACATGCTGAAATTAATTTCAATACACAAAATATTTAAAATCTTTTTTCCCTGGCGTGTGTCTGCCATTACTGCAAACAAACGTTATTTTATAGTAGTGCAAGAAATTGATATAAAAAGTTACTGGATCGGACTGATGTTTAATTGAAATATTGCATTGCAATACATACTGATGTTACACCAGTGCTGAACTTAAACAAGCTTTTACAAATTAATCACTGTCACAAAATGTTTCTGACTTTAAGCCAATGTAGCATTAAGTTGCTACCATTCTTGTGCCCCCATGCAGGGTGTAAAGCAGCCAGCATGGCAGCTTTTGTTCTTCAGTATCAACCAGTAAATATCTAACTTGTACCTGTTTTGATTTATTTTAAAGATTAACTCATTAATACTGCTTCATTTTTAAATACTATCTAAATTCTTCTGGTGACCTACTTTAAAGAAAGAACTTACACGTGATTTAAAAGTTGAGTCCAGGTGTCTTAGTGTAAACAACCATTGGACATACAGTTTCACCAGGTTTGAGTAAATGTAAATTCTTACTGTACAGGCTTTACATTTCATTCCGGAGGTACAATGTTGTGTTATTAGCTTGCTGGAATGCTTTGAGATCTTGTGAATGCTAGAAACTGCAGGGAATACTTTGGCCAAACCTCAGATTGTCTTTGGTACCAAAGGCAGACAATTCCAAGAGACAAATCCATTGGAAAGGAGGCTTTATTGATTACAGTGATCAAGAAATTGCCTAGATGTACTCTTGAAGAAAAAATTAGATGTATATAGGCACAGAGCCTATCTGTCATACCTAGTAATTATTGCTGTCTAGATCTTGTCCATATGAATAATGCAGTAACATGGTACAATTAGTAGAAAACTTCAGAGCATTGTAATTACTTTCATGTATGAAGATATTCTGATGACATCGCCACTGTATATTTTGACTGCAGCTTGCATCCACTACAGAATTATTATTATTATTATTTTCTTAGTCCCATGGTTAGTGTGAATTTTGGGCTGTGGTAACCTCTGTTTTGTTAAGAGAACTGTGTGTTTTTATTTCTAAATTTCATAGATCATAAGCACATCACAAAGACTGACCAATTCAGGGAGTGTTCTGATTGGGAGTGCGTATAACCCAGCTCCAGCAATGGTCACACAGACACACATAACAGAAGCTTCTGGCTGGGCCCCAGGGTAAGATTTTTTTTTTCTTAAAATATGTTTGAGGTTCTGCTCTGATTTTTTTTTTCCCCTTTATTTATACTGTTGTATCTGTATGTTGGCTTACGGCTTCTAGTCCTTGCACAGGTAAAAGGAGGCTCTTCAGCCTATTAAGCACTTTTGATGTCTGGAGCATCGGAGCATGTGAGCACAGGAGTACAAGCACCAGGGGGAGAGACTTAAAGAGGCATTTAAGAGTAAAGCTGTAATGGAAAATTTTTGAATGTAATCTATGTTGTATTTTTATGAACATTTTACAGTAGGAACAAGTTTTCATGGGGTTCTGAGGTACTCCAGAGTAACGTGACTGTCTTTAGCTCTTCTAAGGAAATCTGGTCTTTACAGTTTTTCATTATTTCTGTTTTTTTTTAATACCAGTACTTCTGAGCTTTTATGTCTCAAGGCATACGTGGTGCTTTGCCTGTGAAAATTAACAATAATTTATTTCCATATCTAGGCTAATTTTTGTAAACAGGTGATGAATGTCAGTAGTACCTTTCCAGGTTTAGAGGTAGAAAAATGGAGCTTCTTAGGACATGGCAGAAATGAGATACAATGTTTGTACCTTGATTTTCTTCATTCTGTGCCTGTAAGCAAGGACTGCCCTAGGCTTGTACTTCCCAGTTGTTCTGTTCCCACCACAGAGTCAATAAGCTGCATGCCCGGCTGAGCAGTTTTTAAGCTTGATTTTTTTTGCTGAGTATGTGTTTATGTCCTCAAAATACATTTTGAATCCACTTAGTTCTGATTTTATTCGGAAAAGGAGTTGTCAAAGATTATTTCTGCAAAATTTGTGTAATGTGGAGGCCAGGCAGAAGTTCTTCCAGTTCCCAGAGGTGGGAAAAGCCGTAGTGTCTGTTCACAGCCCGCTAAACCGGAGAAGGAATGCCCACTGCCTTCCCTAAGCTTCATCCAACCCCAGCTGGTGGAGATTCCCAGAGAGAAGCCTTGTTGCAGCGCAGCAACCACCACCCAGCAGAGGCACCATCCTTCTGTTTGTAAACTGTCAACATCTAGACGTGCTATTTCTAATGAGCCTGATTACTGTTCCACTGATAAAAAGGAGCGAGATGTTCTCCAGACTGGCCAATCAATATTGATCCCCGGAGCAGTCCATGCGATAGGTCATATTGTCATCTGAAGCAGAGAGGTGAGGCAGGGTCCGTGTTACTGCTGAACCCTGGCTGAAAACAGTTGGAGAGGACTGTGCGTCCAGACTCCTCGCTTCACCCATTGTTTACTCCTCTGCACAGATTCCCACTTGTTTCCAAAATCAAGTGAGACAAGAGCGTATTCATTCTCAGGGCTGTCTACAGTCTCCGCCAGCCGGGGGGACAGCCAGCCGGGGTGACGGACAGCCCGGGGGGACGGACAGCCCCGGGGGAGGACAGCCGGGGGGACGCTCTCCCTTGGCCGCCTCCCCGGCCCCCTGCAGCCCCCGGGAGGCGCAGCGGGGGCGTTTAGCACCATGGACAGGGCTCGCCCCCCCCCCCAGACCCGGCTGCTGCGGAGGAGCCTGTGGGGGGGTCTGGGTCACACAACCCAACACGGGCAGGATTTCATGGCACAGCTCCTCGCATCCAGCATTTTTCTTCAGCTCCCTTCATAACACTGCCAGGTTTTTAGCTGCGTAAGGATCTGCTGGGAGCCCTGGTTTTGAAATTGCAAGGTAACATCATGAAGTCATTTATTGATAGTTCTCAAGCACTGTGCATTGTATCGGCTGCAAGAATAAAACGACAATATTGGAAGACAACTTGTGAAATCTGCTTGCTGTAGCTAATAAGTAGACCGATAAGGAAACCAGCAGTGATTGGTGACTGCTACTCCTCTGCAAAATTAACGTCACCTACTTTTTCAGGGTATCTCTCTTCAGCTCTGTGTGCATCAGCTCCAATGTGACCATGTTTAGTGTTCTACCTTGTTTTTTGTTTAAAGATATAGCAAAACATACAATGTCCTGAAAATATAGACTATATCTTATGTGCTGTTTAAAGGCATTTTTCTTCCACATAAGGCATTTTTTAATAGGAATTTTCAAACAAGCCCAGCTTCTCCTTTTTGATGGGATGTGGTTATCTAGCTCATGTTAGCATTTCCTATAGTTGCAGATGAAGCTAATTCCTTGAAATCATACAGGCAAAGCAAGGTAGAGTTGGGAATACAACTTGTCTGGCAGTGAGCTCAGACAACCTCCAAAGTCCTAACCAACCGCCTTCTCTTAAATATTGTCCAGCTGTGTGTGTTCTATTTTCCCCTGTCAGTGAGCATGTAACAGCAAGCACTAGTACCCAGCTAGGCCCCACAGACATTGATTTTGTTGGTCTGAATAGATAATGTTATTTTCATCTAAGTTTGAATTGTCTTTTCTTAGGGACAGAAAGCGGACTCGAGAATTTATAGAATCAGATTTTTCAGAAAGGTGAGTATTATTGAACATATGTATTTTATGTAAAAGGTCATATGTATTTTATTTCCTTAGCTGTGCCCTTCAGAGATATGTGTGTCCAGTTCCCACTTTCAGCAGTTTTCACTCCTCCACATAAATTCTATGTTGTGTTACTCCTTGTAGCTCTAATTCATTACTCTTTGCTCTATCACTTCCTCATAAATACATTTGCTGTTACAGATTATGATACTGGGAGTTGTGAAAAACACAATACCACATCTTCAGAAACAGGATTGTTCTAGTTTTCAGTGTGACAAATGATGGTCTTTTCCTTTGCTTCTGAAATTTCTTTGAGTGCATTCAAGGTGGTTTTATTTGTTTTGCCGATCGGGGGTTACTCAAATTGAGTAACTGTGTAGAGATTAGGAGTGTTGGGTTGGGGTTTTGTTTCATCTTCCAGTATTCCTTTCCACTCTTCCTTTTCTACTGTCCTTTCCAGTGTTCTGTTTTCTTAAATACATCCAAAATTTTGAAAAGCATTCCGGTATGTTAATGTTTTCCTTAGCTTGTTACTGTTGACTGAACTAGGCCTTTTTCTGTAAAATAATAGATCTCCCTGAAACATATTATGAAACCAACTTGTAAAACTAATTAAAAATCAAAACAAACAAAAAAAAACACATCAGAGCTGAGCTTTTTAAAGGCTTGTGTTGAAATGTGCATCCAAATCTAGCTTGTGTGATAAAACCAATTGCTTCCGTGTTTTCCATCACCATTATCTAAGCTCTTGCTTTTCTGGAGGAAAAAAGTGAATGTAAAGTAATCCTGACAGTTGCCAGTTAGTAATTTGGCACCATAAAAACCAATGAATATGCACGTATTCTCCACAAAAGATATTCTTGTATCTCAGCCTTAACTATGCTGGCACAGATATTAAACTTGGTTGTTTGGAGAATTAAGATATCTTCTGCTGAATTGTAAGTAGAGCTGAATTGTCTGAGCCTTTCTATTTTGAGCACAAACATGAGAGTCCCTTGTAAATCTGGCTTCTGGGCACATAAAACCTGTGAGGGTTTTCCCCCTTATTTTAGTTACCCTTTTAGTTACTCACTGGAGATGAATTCTCCAGTTTTTCCCAGTAGCACATGTTCAATGTAGAAATTGCTGAGAAGGGGGATAGGGTTCCAGTGCACTTTTTTGCCAATTTGTAAGAAACTGATTCAAAAAAGCAGAACAGTTTTATTTTTTTATTTAGGTAGTACATAATGATGTTTCCTGATTCCTGTTGCAATAGATAGACCTTTTGCTGTTTAACAAAGTAGCTCATTAATGTTCAGTTTATTAAAAATAATTACTTTTCTCCTTCCCAGTAAGAGAAGCAAAAAAGGAGATAAAAATGGGAAGGGTCTGAGGCATTTTTCAATGAAAGTGTGTGAAAAAGTTCAACGTAAAGGAACAACTTCATACAATGAAGTCGCTGATGAGCTGGTATCAGAATTCACAAATTCTAACAGCCACCTAGCTACAGATTCGGTAAGCACACGTGTGTTTTGAAAGTAGATGGACCATTACAAAATGGTCTGGTTTATCATAGAATTCTGTCCCTTCTGTTTCTGCACTGTCCTGCCACACTCCATACTTTCCTTTACTTAACTACTTCCCAAATACAAAGACTTACCCTCTGAAATTTAAAAATATAGAATTAAAATGAAGAGTTGAACTCCATCTAAATTATAAAAAAAATAGAGAAGTCTGCCGAAAGATAACTTTAAGAAGAGGCTACTTTTGTACCCTCCCTACATGGGCTTGTCAGGCTTTTCAACTGTCATACACTTGCCATGACAGGAACTTGCTGCAGCTTCCAGTGTAACCAGACGTGCTCACATGGTGTCCAGGCAGTAGCACAGGTGAAGGCGTCCTCTTTTAATGCCCCTCTGACCTGAACTGCCATTTTGGCTTTCTACATAGCTATGAAGAATGTGTTCAGTCTTTTTTTTTTTTTCCTTTTTGAATCCTTCTGTTGCAATTAATGCTCCATTGTTTCCTTAGCAGGCTTATGATCAGAAAAACATTAGACGGAGAGTTTACGATGCTCTTAATGTCCTGATGGCAATGAACATTATTTCAAAGGAGAAGAAGGAAATCAGATGGATTGGCCTTCCTACAAACTCCGCTCAGGAATGTCAGAATCTAGAGGTAATGTGATGTAGATGGGAAATTCTGCAGAGTTCACAGGTTGAGAATGGGGCTACTCTACTTTAGAAAACGTTTTTTTTCCTCAATTTGAACCTGCTTGGCTTTGATTCTTACACAGTATGAAAATACAACTTCTGATATTTGAATAAATTGAAGGGATGTTTGTTTATGCTTTGTTCAGTTTTATTTAGTGTACATTACATTAGTATGTGTTACATTAATTTTTAAAAATAAGCCTATTTACCTTACAAAGATGGACATTGATTAAATCAGGGGTTACTTTTAAGACTAAAGGCTGTAGTAGTCTGAATTAGCCAGATGAAAATATTGTACATTTGAAAGGAGACCAATTTTCTATTCATGTCTGTACTTGGAAATGCCATTCAAATAAAATTATTTGAAAAATAATTCCTGCTAGGGTGTTAAATATTAGTGATGAACTGGCAGGGGAAAAAAATAAGTTTTTCTTCTTGGTTCTTTCCATTATTTTTCCAGCAGGCTAAGAGTTACCATGTTTTTGCAGGGATGCCAGAATTTATATGCACAAATGTTGCTTGTCCTTCAGGCCAAATGCTCTATAAATAAAAAGCACCGTTACTGTATTTACTGCAGCGTGCTGTAATGACTGTAGATGCATTCTAATATATACTACATTTGTGATACTTGGGACATTAAATACCTTAAAAGGTGGATGGGGGGGCCTCTGCAGTACAGAACAATGGGTTTTGTGCAGGTTCATTTACATCATTTGTCTTTTTAGATGTGGTAAGAAAAAAGCTTTTACTGTTCTTGTCCATTACAGTAACTTGGAAAATTAATCCACCCAAGGAGTATGCGTGTGCTCAAGCACTATACTCCAGGATTCTTTATTTTTTAAAAAATACAGATAAATCTACATTTACATGCATTCACGTGAATGCGTTATCTTCCCTATAGGTTATTGTTACAAATACAGAGCTTGGATCTCATTGTCACGTACAAGGATCATGTGCTGTTCACTGTTTCAGGCTCTAATTCCACAGGCACAAAATGGAAGCCGGGCATAGTTTCTTAAAATGTGGCTTCCTATGACATAGAGAAAGGAATAGAAAATAAAGCTGCATTTTCATGCTCTGGAAATCAGAATTAATTTTGCTTTTACAGCTGTATAAAATGCCAACTCTTCTTACAGTGTAATTCCACAGTAAGATTTCCAGTACAAAAATGAGAAATTAGTACAAAAAAGCTTGTTATATAGAAACCAGGTGTAAATTATACCTGTTTTAAGAGTTACGTATTTGTCCCAGCAAAGAAAGTCATCTGCTGTGCAGTGAAGCAGATTTTGAACTGTAAAGTGGGCAGGGGAGACACACCTCTGCAAAGCAGCACTGTACATAAAACCCGGGGCGGGGGGGTGTCAGCCAGCTACGTTGTAAAAGGCTGCAGCATTTAGTCTCAGTGGTTGAATGAAAAGGTAATTTAAGAGTTTAATATTTTTGGGAGCAGTGATACAGTGCTGGCATGGACAGGATGATGAGGAAAAACACCTTTTAAACATGATGACCCCTGTCCAATTCTTCAGTGTTGCCCCAGAACACTATTTAAAATACTGTTTGTTGTACCTGTTTGTACCAAACCAAACAAACAGTGGAGGTCACTGGAATGATGCAGGTGATGATCCTGAGCCCAGTCTCCACACGCTTATGGCTCGGAGCTGGCACAGTGGGAGGGACAGCACATCACCACTCCGAAAGAGGCCAGGGCAGGAGGGAAAAACAAAACACCCCAAAGCAGCCCCTCAAGCAAGGGTTTAATTTAGTGCTAATCCACACTCAGTGCACAATGCAGAAGAGGAAGAAGGGGTGGGGAAATAATGCAGTCTCTTGTCATAATTGATTCTTTATTGAAGTTAAAATTGTTGACAAAGAACGACATCACAGTTTGTCAGAGCTATTTTACGGAGAAACTCGTGTGACTGTGATTAGTCTGGAAAAAAAAGAAAATATATGGCAAATGGGTTGGGCTGAAACAACTTGTGCAATTTGCTTACCATGCCATGGAATTCACCATCCTCTATGAGGAAGGTCTGGATTTTTGTCATGGTGCTAGAGCACGGCTGTAGTTCTACACCCTGTTCAGTTTGGCAGTGGAACAGACAAGGTAACTAATTATCTTGATGCATTTACATTTATTTTTTAAGATAGAAAAACAGAGGCGGATTGAAAGGATAAAACAGAAGCGAGCCCAACTACAAGAACTGCTGCTGCAGGTATATTGAATTATTTTTTCTATAAATTAAATTATCAAGTGCAAATCCAGCATGTTACAATGTCTGAGGTTCTTGCTAGATTTTAGCAACTGTAATTATACCAGGGACAAAAGTTTCAGGGTTGTGACGTTTGTGGATTCTAGGGGGGGCCTCTTACCCTCACTTTGCGATTCATTCGCAGCTCCTGTAAAGCAGCACCGGGTCTGCCTGCCCTGGGCTCTGCAGGGGTCTCTGGAGCTTTGTCAGTATTCCTGGGAATGGGAACAGCTCACGCGTCCCCTTTGTTGACTCCACATCCCCCAGAGTTACCTTCTCTGAGTAGTACCTACTGCAAAATTTCTTTTTTGATTCTAAGGTATGACATTTTCAGCTGAACTTGTGTAAATATGGGCAGAGGTGTTTTGGGGGAGATGATAGGCATTTCTGGGTTCTAAGGATGGGAGGCTAGAAAAATCTAGCTCTTTTACATTCTGACATGCAGCTGTGAGTTGAGTTTTGGCTTGGATTGCAGAAATCTATTTCAAATGCATTGTTCCTTATAGAGTAACATTTTATAAATACAGTTTTGAGCATTCTTAAGTGTTTTGGTCTGTGCGGACTTACAGTAATCTCGAATTTTTTGTGAGGTTACAGGCAATAAGGCTGTTTTTTTTCTAGTGTAACTATATTGATACAATTTTCATGTAATTAGATATGCACTGAAACTTTTAAATATCTGGTGCTCTCCTTTGTTCATCACCAAAACCTGTTTCTCTACTTAGGGCACAATTCTGATTCTATGTCTGACCTAATAAATTAGCAGCTTTTACAAGAGTAACATGAAATTATCATGGTGAAAATAAGGCAACTATGCGCCCCAACATGGTGCCCTTCCCCACCAAGCTTTACTGCTCCTGTCTTGTTCCTTCTCCAGGGATTGTGAGGGGGCACAGCCATTAGGGGATGTGTGAAAAATGTATGTTTAACTTCTGTTCCTGGGAGCTTCCCTAGTGCAAAGACTAAGTCAGGCCAAGACTTTTTGACAGGAAATTACTGAAGGTATTGAGAGTTGGTAAATCAGAGCTATGGAGTTCCACTTCCTGGAAACACTGCTGTCTTACCTTTAATTGTCAGTGACCATTTTTTCTTTCTTTCTTCCTACAGCAAATAGCATTCAAAAACTTGGTACAAAGAAATCAGCAAAATGAACAACGAAATCAAGGCCCTCCAGCTTTGAACTCGACAATACAGCTGCCTTTCTTAATAGTCAACACAAGCAAAAGAACAATTATAGACTGCAGCGTATCCAGTGATAAGTGAGTGTTCATGAAATCAATTTTTTTAATTTTATTTTCTTTGTCAACTGGAATTTTTCTTTGAGTAAATGGGATAAATTTTTCTAGATTACTAAAAGAAATTATGTATTTAAATATGCTACTGTCACTCCAGGGGTGTGTTTTGTTTTGGTTTTTAATATTTAATGCAACCACAGTAGTAACAAGAGCAGAAAATCCAGATTAAATTAATTGTTGATCAAATTTGCACTTACCATGGGAAGGGACAGGAACTGTACCCAAACTTTGCACACACAGTGTGGGCCTCTGGACCGAGCTTTCAGCGCTGAACAGTAAGATGGCAGCCTAGCAGATGGCTCAGAGAACAAAAGTTGATTTCTCAGTAATGCCTAAAATAATGCTAGGAATTATTAGGAAAAAAGTAAGAAATATAATGTAAAATGAGGTATGTATAGTGCTTTTATATTTGGAATACGATATGCTGTCTTATTCTTGGAAAGAGTATAGTGTAACCAGGGGAGAGACACGGGAGGGCATCGAGAGTGCCTGAAGCTAGGAAAGGGCTTTCACAGAAGGAACAGATGGATTCTTTGGCCTAAAAAAGAGAGAACTGTGGATTCACAGGTGTGTCATGGATGACATGGGGAATGCGCACAGAGAACAAGTAACAGTTGTTATTACAGTTAAAATTAAGAGACATTAAGAGAAGGTACCATGTGACAGGTTTTAGACAAAGAGGATGTAAGTGGGGTTGTAACAGTCTGGGCAAAGCATCAGATGCTGGGCATTTGATGTTGTTCATGCTAAAAGTTTTTGCAAGTTCCAAAATGGGTCGTGTCAAATCCCTGGAAGAAAACCCTCCCACAGTTATTAATAGCAAAGGTCCAAGTGTAGGGACTTCTCATGTCAGGGACTGCTAGAAACTGTGCTGGAGAGGTGTGACTGTAGGTTTCTTTGTTTGAAACTTGTGGGGGAAAAAAAAGGAGTTGTGCTCCTTTCTAGCATCCAGCGTTTGACCACAACATGTGGGAGGAGAAATGCAGAGCTATCAATAAGTACAGCCTTCAATCCTTTTCCATAATAGCTGAATTCAGTTATTACTTAGTTCATTACATGGCTTGCTGGTAATTAGTGTGACACTGGTTTCCCAGCCCCCGTTTGTGTAAACCCAGTAACAGTTACCTGACTTGCGCTGCCCCAGTCTAGGGAGCAGGAATGTCATTGTACCAATTACAGGTACAGGGACACATCTTATTTTCCCTTCTAATGTGGTTACCCTTAAGTAAATATAGCTGCATAAACAATGGGTTTTACAAGTAATACCACATGAGTCACAAAGAAATTATGCCTGTAACTGACAGTTACATCCAGTACAAAGCATGTAGATTTCTGGATGAAAATATTATGTATAGGCACAAAAGACATAACTTTTCCAAACTGACTGGATCAGGTATAAGAAAATGAGCTTTTAAAAAAAAATAGTATAAAAAAAAAAACCTCAAGAAAATCCACGTGACACGAGTGTGGAGAGCTAATGGAAGACCCACCAGTGAGTTACCTTTTAAAGATCATGTGTCATGGCTGGGTTGCTTTTCTGGGGATAAAGCTTTTGTCAGCAGAAGGTGAGGTACAGAGAACGGGCCGTCTATTGGAATCCCTGCACCAGTGCTGTCCAGGCTCTTAATAGCATAAGGCCAGTCTAGATGCCCCTGCTTTTCTTAAAGCTCTGGTAAGTTTATATCACTATTTCCATTTTTATTTGCAATGAAAAACATTGTCAGTCTGCAGCAGAAGTGCTCCATTGTGAATGTACAGGACTGTGAAGAGACTGCGCTGCGGGCTGCAGCCAAACACATCCAAAAAGCAAAGTTTTACCAAGGTAAACAGGTCAGTTCACAGGAGGAGTGTTGCGTATTAGAACAGAAAGTGTAATGTAAAAGAAGCAAAAACAAAGTCATTATTTTGGTGACAGGGCTGCAGGTGACCTTTAAAAGTATTGGATTTAGTAGAAGTGAAGGTTCAGGTTTAGGAAGGCCTCCTCCTTCCTCTTTGAATCTGTTTAATGGGGTAGAAAATGTTAGACTTTCTCCCTGCAGTGGTGAAGTTACTTTAATTGAGGAAGTGCCATTTAAAACCCCATAGATGGGCCAGTCACAGAAAGAGAAGAGAAAAAGTGTTTGCTGCCCTTTTTTTTTTTCTTTTAAGGACTCTTTACAGATAAGGAAGAATCTGGACACTCACCTCAGTGCATACCAAAAAAAAAAAAAAGAAAAAAAAAGGCAAAAAAAGCATAGCTGTGCTCTTTTCAAAACCATCTCACTTTGACTTTTTACATGCAGATTTGAATACCTCTTTAATTTCGATAACACTTTTGAGATTCACGACGACAATGAGGTGCTGAAGAGAATGGGAATGTCCTTCGGGCTTGAGGCGGGCAAATGCTCCTCTGAGGACCTAAGAACTGCAAAATCCCTGGTGCCAAAAGCTTTGGAAGGCTACATCACAGGTAAGTCAGATGAGACTTTTAAATATTGTTCCTGAACATTAGTTAACTGAGCAAATTTAATGATATTAA